CACTTTTGAAGGATTTCTTCAGTGGCTTCCTGTTTAGGCTGTTACTTTGTGGGGGGTGGTTGGTTTCTCAACTGTGCATCAAGTAGTCTCCTTGCTCTTCAAAGTCAACCAGAACATGGATTATGGGCCTCTACTTGGTTTCTGGCAACAGTGCAGACCACCAACATGTCTTCCTGCTGCAGCAGGACCACAACCCAAACAGTTTTCAAAGGCTGCCCAGACAATGGATATCAACATGGCCTTAGGTGGCAATGCAGGCCACCCACAGCAATATGGCCTCCAGTGGCAGCACAGCCTGAGGATATCAAAGTGGTTTCAGGCTACATCGTAGACTAAAGACATCTATCTGCATGGCCTTTGGTGGTAACACAGACCACAGACATTAACATAGACCCCAGCTGCAACAGGACCATGAACCCAGACATGGCTCTTGGTGGCAGATTTTATATATATTTATCTTTCCAGATACCAGTCACTGACTTTATGAGTTTCTAGTTTTCTATGGAATAGTAATTTTCCTTATCTCCACACTTCTCCATTAGTGAGTCATGTGGTAATATTGTGTCATCCCTCAACTGACTTAAAAATTCTATTTTTAAAATTATTTTTATTTTTCTAGAAAAATCCCATGTCTGCTGAGTTTATACAATGCCTTTGGAATCTTGGACAGTGTGATTGATGTGAATTCTAACTGTTGTATAACCATACTAGTCATTTTATATAGCAAGGGGTTAAGATGGTAAAACATATTCTATGATGTAATAGTATCATTGAACACCAAAGATAGCAGTGTGTCTCTGTTTAGAAGTGGCTCTACTTGTTTTTAAACATGAGTAAAGGAATAAATAGTGACTTTTGTTATGGTTGTTCAGATTTTTAAACTGTGAGTATGTGAATGTGTCTAAGAAAGTTACCCACTTGGCTCTGTGTCTTTTGGATGAAAAAAAAATGAAATTGAATTCACCCCAAACAGGCTATTTATTCTCAATTGCGATGTCTGAGAGTAGAATATTAGAGTCATGATGTTCTAGGTTTGTTCTCTCTGCCCACTACTGCTGACAGTGGCTCAAGTTGGAGCAGTGGATGAGAACAATTTGGGTGATAATCACCTTTTGAGGTTATTTTGTTTTAACTTTTCCAGTTGACAAGAATCCATGATTCATCTTGTATGGAACTCCCCACACAGTAAGCACTTTAAAAATCTGATTTTGTTTGATCCTTCTTTGACAACAAGTATTTAAATGAATGCTCAGACAGAATGAGTTTCTTATGATGGTAGTAAGTCAACATTAATTTTGAATGGCAGGTTCATGTAAATCTCTGAAGTTCAGAAAGTGCAGATTTATAATTCTTGTCCTTGGCTTTGTTGCACTTAATTAAATTCCTTCCCTACCTTGAAAAAATAATTTTTATTTTTTATCTTTATTACAATCCCAGTTCCCTCTCCCTCCCCCCCTCCCCTGCCCCAAACAGCCCCTATCCCATCCCTTTTCTGCTCCCCAGGGAGGGTGAGACCTTCCATGGGAGAATCGTCAAAGTCTGTACATCATTTGGGGCAGGGCCTAGGCCCTCCCTTGTGTGTCTAGGCTAAGACAACATCCCTCTATGTGGAGTGGGCTTCCAAAGTCTTTTCCTGTGCTGGGGATAAATACTATCCATTACCAGAGATCCCATAGACTGCCCAGGCCTCCTAACTGACACCCACATTCAGGGGGCCTGGTTCAGTCCTATGCTGGTTTCCCAGCTGTCAGTCTGGAGTCCATGAGCACCCTGTTGTTCAGGTCAGCTGTTTCTGGGGGGTTTCCTCAGCCTAATCTTGACCCCTTCTCCCTTTCTACACCTGGATTCCATTAAAAATCCCATTTTATCTTTCAATTGACATAGGACAATTTGACACTTTATGGGAGGTGGTATTTGCATTTTATTTCATGTAGACAATGTTTAATTATTGATTAAGATCATTGCCTATGTAATCACCCTGTGTCATCATTTCCTTGTTCTGAGAAAAATAAAATAAAATAAATCCTATTACTAATTTGGAGTATTCAGTTGTTTGTTGTCAGTCATGGATATCTTGTGCTATAGAACATTGTAAGTCATCTTCTTATCTAGGCACACCCCTCAAGTGCTTTTTCCTGCCTTCTGAGTCTCCAGGAACCACTACTGAATACTCTTACGTTATCAGCTCTTAGCGTCTACATATAGGCATGAAGATGCAGAGTTGTCTAATTATATTTGAATTGAGTGGATTTTATGTTTGACAGTGTACGTGAAAGTGAATTCAACAAATGTGTTTGGTGCTTGTATATAGTTGGAGACACAATGACTTCAATAATTAAGAGCAAATATTTATCAATTATTTTTTGCTCAGTTTGAGTTTGTGTTTGTTTTTGGCTATAGCATATAAGCATGGTTTTTACATCTGTCATTAGATGTCTTACAAAGACATAGAAATGGATTCACAAGTTTTCTATTCGTTATACTGCTTGGTGATATGGCTTCATTATGGAGTCTGCTTAATTTAAAGAGTTGCCTCATTTCTTCCCACGCTGCTAACTACTTCTAGTTTAACAAAAGCAGCTTTACCTCAGGGAGTAATGCGAATGGTTGGTACACACCCTCCTGTAGTGGTGTCTCTGGTCTGCACCACAGAATTCTGTTCACATGCCTCACAGTGATGTTGATAGCATTTCTGCATTCTGATGCCCTACATAAATTTATCTTGACTTTTTGTTGTTTTGTTTTGAGATGAAGTGTCACTATGTATCCCTGCCTGCCTGTGACTTGCTTTGTGTAGGAGGCTAGTCATGGACTTGCAATGATCCTACTGCTTCAGTGTGACCCCTGTGTCACTATTATTTCCAGGTTATCCTCGACTGTTTAATGGATGCAGAGGTATAAATACACAATCTGTGTGGGAAGAAGACTGCCTAGCAGTGCATTGGCTGTGCTTTACTTTGCCAGTGACCTACTCTGTTAGCTTGGAAAAAATTACTTGGCCTCTTTGAACCTTCATTTTTTTAAAAAAAATTGCAAAGCTCAAAGGGACCTTATCTACATAAAGTGGCTGTTTGATTGAGTTTATCTATGAATTCTAGTTTAGTTTGGTTGATGATTTGCTTGTGCAGCTGTTTAGATAAATGCAAAAAAGAAAAAAAAGCACAGACTCCAAATATGCTAGTGTTAGAGGGCGGTATTTTCATTTTCATATATTCAAGAGAGAAGAGGAACATACAAATTGTGTAAAATTTGCTCTTATGATCTGAACATTACTGTTGTCTGGTAAACAGTAATAAAATTGTGGGAAAATTTTTCAGTGAGTCTAAAAGATGACTTAAACATCTCCCTTTTACAGAGATGTCAAGTGGTAAGTCATGCTCCTTCGATTGGGTAAATATAATAGGAAAGTTTCAAGGTCAGCTCTTCATCAGTTAAGTGTAGGTTTCTAAGAAGCCTGGTTGGGGCCTAGGCTGATGGGTCCAGGTAGGGTCTGAATTATTATCACCTGGTCTATGGTAGAACTGCTTGTGGACAAGCCAGGACTGTAGGAGCTATTGTAATGGACTGAGTGTGTCTCTCAGTGGTCTATGTTGGGACTTGAGAGCTCAGCTTCAAATGACATTTCATTGAACACATGTGTTAGGCAGTCATTCTTTCTTATATCTCCAAGGACCCTGCACAGACTTCTAACACTCAGAGCACAAAGCTTAGCACATTTGTTTAAGTGTTTGCTTTTCCTCTGGTGTATTTAAAGCTACTAAGGATTCCCTCTGCCCTCAACATCTTAATGTTATGTAGCCTATAGTGAAACATTTGGTCATGTTTACAGAAAGGATAAAGGGAGGAAGATGGGCAGAAAACAGGAAGTAGTGATGCTTTTTTGGATTACAGTTGCTGATTTTAGAGTAGTCATTTACCACTCATAATGAAGAAAATGATTCAAAGTTAATTTTACAAAAGTTAAGTGTATTGTATATATGAAAATGTCACAGGGAAATATATTTATATAGTTAATGTTCTAATAAGAACAAAAAATTAACTGGTTACAAGATTTTTTCATAAGCATTAGAAGAACAATTCACAAGATTTAGACATATCTGATTTGCATATGAAAATGTTTTACTATACAAGTACATATATAAGAAAAATGTATATTACCAGAGACTTTCCTGGGGATTTTCACTTATTAAATTCCAAAGTTTTAAAATGTATGTTTATATTAATTGTTAAACATTATGTATATGTCATCAAGTAATTTTCATTTGCGTTAGGTATTTCCTCAATGATTTTTGATAAATGAGGAAACTCACCAAAAGTGAAAATGTACTATTCTCAAGACCACCAACCCCACCATAGTGGTCCAGCTTTGGCTGAAATTATGTGGGTTATTACTTTTCCATAATGGGATATTACTTCTATGGAATTAGGAAGTTCCCCCAAATATTATAGTGTTATACCAGACATGACAAATTTAAAAAAAGAAAATGTTTTACTGTATTACATGTCTATCATCAAATCCCAAGAGAAGTAATATCATGGGAGAATCATAGGTGCTTGGCCCCAACACTGAAATTGACTCTAACTTTGGGTAGTTTCTGCATCTTTCTGTGGCTTAATTTCCCATTTTGAAAAATGAGAATTAGAGAAACAGACAATATTACTGTAAGAATGAAGTCACACTATTTTTAAAATACCCAACATCTGACGCAGAGTGCTAGGAGGAAGTAAAGGTTGTCTATGATTATCACCGTCTGAGCATGTGTTATCAGTTGTCAAGGAACTAAGGACTATTATGAGTCCTTTGCATCTCTTCCCTGAGTGATTTTTTCTCAGCACTATTATAATTTGGGAGATAGCTTCCTTATTTCCCTTAGCTATTAGCTCTATATAAGTTACTTCCTTTCTTAAGAATTCTCATTCTTTCTTCTTTGGGATCTCCACTTACTAAAGCCCTCCTTTCCTCCTTTCCTTTTCAGTGAATTGCTTGGTCCTTTTTGCCAATGGACAATTTAGCATTTGAAATGCAAGAAGATGGAACACAGAAAGCTTCATCTATGGGAAAGAGCAGTATTTCCTCCAAAGTGGTAAGGTGGGGATTTGCATGTTGGGGTTATGTGCCCTGACTTGTGGAGAGCTTAGGAAAGAATCCACCCCTCTTTGGACCAGTGCTCTCAATGAGACCCTCTTCTCATTGCTGCTGTGTCCTTCCTTATAAACCCTTAACTACTGCTTCTTTAATGGCCAATTCTCTCTGAAACATATCTTGTAATATCAGAGAATGCTTCTGACTTGTTGGGTTTTCTCACTAGGTTGTAATATGTTTGCCTCTTAACTTAAAATCTTAACTGGGATTTCCCATAGGCACTATTGTTGTACATTCTGATCAATTAACTTCAAACAAGTCAAAGGGAAAATTTAAAAAGTATTCTTTTTGTTTGGTGGATTATTCATTGGTGTTTATACTGTTCCCTTTCTCTACTAATCAGATGAGGCAGTATGAATACCTGTTCTATTTTCTATTTAAAGGGACCTAGCCAAGCTCCAGGCTGCCTCCACTAGCCATAGTGTGTAGGAATAGTATTTTAAAACTTGTAGAACAACAAATATTATTTAAGAGAATTGTGTTTGAAGGATGATGATGATAATGTGTGTGCATGTGTGTATTTTGTAAGGCATATGCATCTTACACTAGATAAGCACAGTAATATATTTCTTAATAGGGTTGTGCTTTAAAAAAGTCAAAAAACACTAAATGTTTCATGTTCTGTTCATTTCCCAACTCAGCATCAATGAAGTTAGCAGAAACAAAAAATACAAAAAAAAATCCAGAGTGGAGATAATGTCTCTATTTTGTCACAAGTGGAGAATAATGGCTTCAAAATTTCTCCCAGGAAAAGAAGAGGCAGTGGTCACTGCTGAGCATTTTCCTGCTGTGCCTGCTGGCCTGCTTCATCACCACAGCAGTGGGAGCACTTACTCTCTCCCTGGTTTACATCAATGCCAAGCCTCACTTTGAGCAGGAAGCCTCACCTCCGCACACAATGGTTCCCCAAGGACAGAAGGCTATTGATCCAAAATTTCAGTTTCTTAATCATTTACCCAAATCCCAGGTGAGAATAACACAGATTAGGAAACAGTTCTCTAAATGATGGTTTTATATGTTTACTCTTCGTGTCATTAAATTGTTCTCCTCGGGAAGGGCTCGTAGGATGAGAGGAAGTGGGGAATAGAGAGTGGAAAGCTGGGTTGATGATGGCAGCAGGCAGAAAATTTCAGTAGATCATTCTATGTTCTAGTTAGAGAAGAGAAATGCCAAGTGATAAATGGAAAGGTAGGTTTGTGTGGTGTGGTGTGTATGTATGAGAGAGAGAGAGAGAGTGAGTGGGTTATGAGTGTGGTGTATGTGACTGTGATGTGTGTGTATGTAGTATGTATGGTGTGTTTGTGTGTGTGTGTGTGTGGTGTGGGGTATGTGTGAGTGGGTTGTGTGTGTGTGTGGGTTATGTGAATAGGTTGTGTGTGGTTTGAGTGTGTATGTGTTGTGTGTGTGTATGTGGTGTGTATGATGTATATATGTGAGGTGTGTTGGGGTGTGTCTGTACAACAGGGTTAGGTTGATGGCATGGTATGCACAACTGTTATAATTCCTAGACTCTTACAGGAGTGTTGTTCCTTTTAGGAACCCCTAAAATTATTCCATCTCACTTTTCCATTTACCTCCTACTTACTCTGTCAATAATAATGGCTCATGTTCTATATGGACAGAAACGTGGAAGATAACTCAATATTGATGATTGCTTGCTTATGATTTTTTTAGGTGTTTGAGTTCCCTGGTGGTGCAATCCAGTGGGCGAGGTACAGGAACAACATCAACGACTATCTCAGTGATGAAGAAGAGGCATTTGGCACCAGCTTGAACAGTCTGAGATCACAGATGACTCTGGGGACACTGAGAATAAAAAGCAAGGGCCTCCGGGCTCCTCACTGGCACTTCAATGCTAACGAACATGGCTATCTCGTGCAGGTAGAAGCAGTCTGCCCCCTTTCTGCTTTTTAGCTTCTATAGAATATGTCCTCAGAGTGTTATTTTAGATGTTACCAAGTCTCCTAACGTAGCTATAGACAAGCATTCAGGTTTTCAGTTAGATTAGCCATCTTAGAGAATTTGCCATCACTTTGAACTAATCATTGTTAAAATAAAATCACTGTTGAATTTTTCTATAAATTTGAGACCCCTCTAAGGTTTTTCTTTAATATTTTAAGCGAGCAGTTTTATAAGACTATTATTCAAGTGTGCATTCTTATCTAGTACTATTTACATATTTATGCATTTTTTAATTCAGCAAGGGATGAAAGTATTGACTGCCTGCTGCATGTGCAATACAGATCTATTTCTCAAAATAAATGTTAGCTGTATTCATAGGGCTTGGTGACCATTTCAATTTCTATTTTATATTACACTATAATATAAATAGTAAATTTTGCTAAAGCTAAAACTAAACTAAAATCACTGTTTAGTCCTTTGGGCCAAACAAAGTTAAAGTACTAACTCTGATCTAAAGATCAAAGAAACAGTGGCTTCTCATGAAAATACAGCAGTTGGAGTAACAAACTAGGATGCTGATGCTCTGCATAGACTCCAAGATCAAATCATTGAATGAGCTTTTGTTGTTTAGACCTTCCAGAAGATTCTCAATTCAAGTGAAATAGTGACAGAATTCTTCCAGAACTTTCATAATTTTGTCTGATTCTATAATCAGCCAGTTATATGGTATGTTTTCTATTGTTAAGACTTCCCTTGGCGTAAGCATTTAGTCCCAGCACTATGGAGGCAGAAACAGGTGGATCTCTGAGTTTGAGGCTGACCAGCCTTGAAGAGAGAGAGAGAGAGAGAGAGAAAGAGAGAGAGAGACAGAGACAGAGACAGAGACAGAGGGAGAGAGAGGACAGAGACAGAGACAGAGACAGAGGGAGAGAGAGAGAGAGAGAGAGAGAGAGAGAGAGAGAGAGAGAGAGAGAGAGAGAGAGAGAGAGAGAGAGAGAGAGAGAGAGAGAGAGAGAGAGAGAGAGAGAGAGAGAGGATTCCAGAACAGCTAGGGGTACACAGAGAAATCCTGTCTCAAAAAGAAAAAGAAATAAAAACTTCACCTAGTCTTTACTAGAGTGAAGATATCTTCATTAGCATTACTATTGCTTTGATAAAACACCATGATCAAAAGCAAATTGGGGAGGAAAGGGTTTATCTCGCTTACACTTACACTTACATTGTAGTCCACCACTGACAGAAGCTAGGGCAGGAGCTCAAACAGGGCAGGAACCTGGAGTGGGGAGGTGATGCAGAGGCCATGGAGGGGAGCTGCTTACTGGCTTGCTTTATCACTTTGCTTATCCTGCCTTCCTGTAGAACGTAGGCCCATAAGCCCATGGGTGACCACACCCACAATGAGCAGTGCCCTCCCCCTTCAATTAGTAATTAGGAAAATGTCCCACAGCTGGATCTTTTTTAGCATTTTTTTCTCAACTGAGTTTCACTCCTTTCAGATAATTCTAGTTTGTGTCAAACTGACATAAAACTAGCCAGGACAGAGTAGATGCCATCTATCAAAGCAAACATTTGTTATTTTTCATGAAGAGCTTGGTGACATAGAGATGTTTCTAAAATAACACTCCGGTGTTGGCAGGATTGAACTAAATCTAGGTGTTTTGACTTCTGTTTTTCCAAACATATAAAACAATAATGGAAAAATTTCCAAATGACCAATTTTTCTGCTGTTGGCCAAACTATGGTAGGGTGGTAGGAGAAAGAAAAGTCAGCTGGCTGGCCTTCCTTGTTGTCTAGGTAGGGTGTAGGAGAAAGAAAAGTCAGCTGGCTGGCCTTCCTTGAAGGGTTCACCACTAAAGAAGTGAATCTGCAGCTTCAGTAGGGAGTAGGTCTTGGGATCCACTTGGCCTGAAGAGGCTGTTTCAGAAGTCTAGGGGTAATTTATAATTTGATTTCTGTGTGCATACTATATAGACTTGGTTATTCTCTAGATCCTGGGGAATTGTCAGATTCCTGACTCCTATAACTAGATCAAAGAACTAATCTGTGGGGCAACATAGGGGTTGCATATCAGATACACTACATGTCAGCTATTTATATAACAATTCTTAACACTAGCAAAATTGCAGCTATGAAGGGGCAATGAAAATAATTTAATGGTTGGGGGTTAGCACAACACGAGGGTTCCAGTATTAGGAAGGTTTTCCTTCTTTCTTTAACACCCATTTTGGATTCAAGATACATATTGCCTATCCAGACAGAACAAAGACTTCTTGTTTATCATTTATCTGTTTTATGATGCGACCATCAATGACTGATAAAATGTAAGTAATGGCAATAATACAAATAAATGCTGAAGAACAGAATAGAAAATTATCCTCAGGGTAATATGTTAGCGGCCACAAAATAATTTAACTAAATGGAACACAAACATTTAGGATTTAGATTCAATTCATTACTTTACAGTGCTTTCACACATTAACTTATTTAATTTTTTTATCAGGAAACTTCAAGCAGTGGAGCTTGCTTGCTTGCTTAGGTCTAAATCCCATTGTTTGTCACTGACTACCTTAAGTAGATTCAAGAAAATGTATATTCTTAACCAACAAATTAAGAATAATAATAGACATAATTGAATTGAATCTAGTAAAGTGCTTCAATAGGTACCTGATATAATGAAAATATTAAATGTATGCTTTTATATTATCTCCATTACTAAAAGTATATACAAACTTTTTATTTTGTAATACACATGTATCTGTGTGTACCCAACACACAAAATGCATATACAAACATATGTGCTTGTACAGTCACCTGTGACCAGCACAGATCCTGAATGCGTGGCTTCAGTTTTTTTAAAAACATGCTCTAAACATGTTTAAACAGCTTTAAAATATGAAATCTTAGTGGGAGCCATATTTCCCTCAAGAAGGAAAAATGGATTCTTAGCTGGGGCAAAATATCACACACACACAGCATGTAATAGCTATTATATTAAAATTTTATATGGTAATGGAAGGAAAAGTGGTTAAGAACTGTGTTTGCAACATGGGTGATAAAAGAAGATTGAGAAGCATTATTCTAAGTGAAACTAAGGATTTTATGTTTTAGGGGACGGCATGGGTCGGAGTGGTTGATGATGATGGTGAGGTCGCTACCACATACAATGTTACAGCTGGCCAAGTGATCTTCTTTCCTCAAAATACGCTACACTGGATAAAGAACGTGGGTCATGAAGACTGCTTCTTCTTGCTCTTCTTTTCCACACATGATGAGCTGCAGACTCTAGATCTAGATGATGCGTTTTTCTCTACACCTGAAGACATTGCTTCCAGGTCACTTAAGGTATGTGATATTTGTAAAATCATGAAGATATGTGCTACACAGTCATAGAGTATGAACAGCAGTGTCTCTAAAATAGAACAATCACCATAGATCCATAAATTCACTAACAGGGATAGAAGTGGTTGAGTAACACACTCAAAAGTGGATCTTGTATTCCTACTATGACAAAGGTTTAAATTGCATTTCTTTTGATTTTCCTTTATGAAGATCTATCACCTGAAATCGTAATGTATTGGTAGAAAGATTATGACATAATAATTAATGGAAAATTTCTGCCATTTATAGTAGTCCTAAAGAGTCAAAAGATCACCCATTCTTTCTGTGGGGAAAAGGTTGCTACATGAGAGAATTATATATTTTTTCTTTTCTTTTAAATTTTTTTTTGGTTTTCTGAGACAGGGTTCCTCTGTGTAGACTAGGATGTCCTAGAAACTCTTTCTCTAGATGAGGTTGGCTTTGAACTGAGAGAACTGTCTGCTTCTGCCTCCAGAGTGCTGGGATTAAAGGTATTCATTACCTCTGCCCAGGTGGAATTGTATTTTCTTAATTTTCAGCAGAAAATCCTATGTTTCCTGAATAATTAGATACTTTAAAAGAAATCTTTAAAATTTATGTTTTTTTAATGAAGTGCCAAGGTGTTTTAATGCATCTATATATGTCATGATATCAATCAGGCTAAGCATATCCCTCTCCTCAAACATGTATCCTTTACAGTGGAAACTCTTGTTTGCTAACCTCTGAAAGCACACAGTGTATTATCATTACCCTACTTGGAGTAGCATAGCATGATTTTTTGCTCCTGTAGATTACTACTGCAATCACTACTTATGACCTCTCCAAGCATTTATTTACGTTACTACAGGGGGATAACTGATACTGGTTACAGAAGGTCAGGCGTAGATGCTCAAAATGCTAATGGGCGAGATCTAGTGATGATCTGTAGCTAGCAGCTGGAGAAGGTTCAGTAGCAAGCATAGGAATCTGCAAAGTAAACTTGTGAGACTGCCTTTCAATGGGGGCCAGTATTCTAGTGCTCTAGAGAGAGGTAGAGAGATGGCTTTTTAGGGAGAATGCTGGTAACCTTGGGAAACAATGTATGCTTCTTCAGGAATTTATATTGACCATTCCAAACCAACCATTTAAACACAAAATGCATTGAAAAACTTTCACAAATATCAAAATTGTTCTGCCTGGGTCAGCAAAAAACATTCGTGTTAATGCTACTGCGACCTCTGCCACTTACTTTTCTGTTACCAAGATTTGTTAAGTGTTTCATAGCCATACAAGTGATTTATGATTGTTTTTCAGCCTGAAGGTGGAATTAATTTCATTAGAAAATTCCAGAAGCAAACAGAGGATCAGGGGGTCAATCTTCCTCCCAACTTGGCAGAGCTAGTTACAAATGCTACTTATGTACAGTCTCCTGACAGCATTGTGTGGAGATATTTTTTTGACCTTAAAGGTATGGTATGTTTCATGAAGGTTTTAAATTAAGTTTTGTATATATGGTTACATATATTTGACTTGGAATGTATTTTTGATGGTGGGGTATTGCCAAGAGAAATTTGAAAACAAAACAAAAATACCATGCTTTTCAGTAGATTAGGTCATGTAGTGAAAATCCTACAGTTGAAAGTGAATGTGACAAAGTGGGATGGGCATGTTTTAGATCTGTAAAATGTTGTAGGGTCAGAGACTGGTAGCAGAGGACACTCCTAACCATGTAAAGTTTAGAAGCCATTCTGAGGAGTTTTTACAGTATCTTAACTGAAGAATAGAGGGACTGTGCATTTTAAATAAGTGTGAAACAGGGAATTTTCTTTTTGAAGTGAATAGTATCTGGCGGTTTGTAGGGAACCAAATGGATCAGTTGGGCAGAAAAGAGATGGATCGAAGGGCTGTCATAGTCCTTCTAACAGGGGATAGAATAGACCTACACTGTGGCAGTGTTGTGAGGAGGAGCAAAGAATTTAAAGAGATAGGACTTGATAGTTGACTACTTCAAAGGTGATGTACTGAGTTTTGTTTGGGATAACCTCCAAGTTTTCTAGTCAGGTCCCCTACATTGAATGAAGGATACTAGGATTCTCTGTATTAGAAATTTCAGGACAGTTTTGGAGGTGCCCAGTGGGGGCCCACATGACATGGGGTCAGTGATTCATATTAGGTAAATTTTCTGTGAGTAGAAGAGCTTTGTGTTTTACTGGGTGTTTATTGAGGAACATTTTTCAAGTATTTGTTTTTATGTCTTAAACTTCATCTATTTCAGGTTCAAAAGAATATAAGTTTCCAGGGGGAGTCATCCAGCTAGCACAGTATTGGAAGGATGCACATGAATTAAACAGCAATGAAAAAATTTTCAATGAGTTTATACATCAGGTAATCTAGGAGAAAACTTTTCTTTGTTAATATTAAATAACATTTAAAACTTTCTCATATATGTTAATTTATTTCCTTTTTTATGTTTTGAATTAAAGTATAATTCCATTGTTTTCTTCTTTTCCTTTCCTCCCTCCACCCCTTCCCATGCATACCCACCTTGCCTTCTCTTAAACTCATGACCTCTATTTTAAAAATACTGTTATACAAATATATATTTTTATACTGTTATATATACATATATGATATATATGTAATATATATAATCCTAAATATATAAATAAAACATGTTAAGTGCATATATCATGATTTGTCACTTGTTATTAGTTAGCCAGTTTTGGAGCTATTCCCTGCGGAGGACTATTTCTCCATCTCTCAGCATTACCTAATTGCCTGTAATTCTTTGCTAAGGGTTGAGGCCCCGAGACCTCCCCCTTCCTTGTTTGCATGTGCTGTTCTTCTTCAGGCAGCCATGTTGGTGAGACTTCATGGGTGTAACTTCCTCGATATTTCTAGAAGAGGAACTCTCACAACAAATGTCCTGTTCCTTTGACTTTTACAGTCTTTACAGAGGAAACACTTTTTTGATGAATATCCAGGTAGGTGAAATATAAGATTAGGATTTGATTCACGATTCTTCTTACTGGAAGAAAAAGGGAAGCCTGGGTTAAGCCAGCATGGGCTGATTCCATTCATGTGAGCTGTTAATTAGGACTTGCATGGAAGAGAGTGGAGGGTTGTGAGAGTTCCAGTTTTGTTTTTAAGAAAATCCAGTTATGTTAGCATAGTTCCTTGGATTCACATTCTAGTTCTGCCTTTTCTTTGCTGTGTGACTCTAGGCAACTGTCTTAGATCTTTCATTCATCACCTGGGAGGTAGGGGAAATGATGCAACTTTGTAAGATTGTTGTAAGCAGAAAGGAATGTGGAAGACATTTGCAGAGATGCATAAATATCGGATTTTTGTGGTCTTATCAACTGTTGAGTTGCTGAGCAGTGTGTTGGTTAAATAACCGTCTTTCTTCTTTTCTTTTGAAAGCATCAAAATATCCTCGCATTGAGTACACTCAGGATTTATAATAATGGATTAAGACAGCCACATTTTCATTTCAATGCAAATGAAATGGGATATGTAGTGAGTGGATGTGGAAAGGTAATTCCTCAATAAACATTTCTTTAAAACTTCCTTTGATGCAGAAAGGAGCAAGTAGATATTTCTCATGTCAACCTAGTCATCAGAAGCAAAAGGAATCTTTCCTAATGGCTTGGTGGACACTGTTTCTACAGAGGATAGCACACAGATCTCATTAAATGCTTGCCATATTTGAGGAGAAGAAATATTCAGGAGGTTCTGTATTTCTGAAGTGGGCAAGAGTGTTTCTGAAGTGATGAAGATTTATGTCTTCATAAATCAGAGGCCTGGAGAACAGGCTGAGGCTTTCAGTTTTACACCATCACCTAATGCAAGCTGCTCTGCCCTGGGGAAGTAGAAATAACCTTTTGTTATTCTACTCAGCAGGTGAATGAGGGAATGTGGGAAGGCTTGGAACATCAACTTGATGGTCATATATCCCAGCTTGTACCCCAGTATCTGAGAAACTACTCCTCAGTATACTTGTCTGGCTGAAACTATTGATAACCCCTTTTGCTCTTCAGAGAGTATTTGATTTTGATGATCACCTTTGTGGTCAAGCTCTATACACCAAGCTATGTAGTATGTTACTATAGTGATCTGACATTAGTTACTATAGATTGTCATGAATTCCAGAGATAGATAAGGCTTTGCTTGGAGAAGAGTCTATAGAGGGTGAAAGGGCACAAGGGAGGATGATAGAAGAAAAGAGAGAAGCAAGTGAATCAATAAAAATAAATTTGAAAATGTTGCAATAACTTTCTCAACTAGTTTTAATAAAATGCTTTGATGATATGTATTTCTCTCAGTCTTGGAGGAAAGAATATGGATTTCACTCAGACCCCAAAGTCTTGTATGTTTTTAGGAATGAAAGTTTTTGAAAATTGAAAAAGAGCATTGTAGTCCTCCATGAATTGTGTTTTAGTTATCTGAACATTCCTGATGTGCTAGAGTGCCTTTGTATATGTTTAGTCTCTAACTCTTAAAAGACACTTCAGATGGTATGATGAAAGATGGCATAAATGAAGGCATGTAGGTGGGAAAACACTGAATGTGAATCCTCTCTGGTATGTCTGGGGTATAATTTGTGACCTTACCTAGAACACGATGGTTGATGCCTTCATGCATGCCATATTTATGCATGATGTATTTATGCATGATGGATATTTATGTAAGACTTTTTGGCTTCCGTTGGGCTCTGTCATATCCTTACTTAGAAGCCTCTATATATCCACAAGCTATGTTATATATCTGTTCTTCACCTTTAGTACCCAGATAAGTGTGTGGCTTTATGTTCTAAAGCATCACTTCCCCTCAGGTGGGCATCATTAATACTCAGAGAACCATTGAGTTTAATATCCACATTGGAGATGTGGTGTTTTTTCCTGTTGGAACCCAGCATTACATCAAGAACACATGTGATGAGGATTTGCTCTTTGTTCTTGCCTTCAGCACTGGAGATCAGGTAAATCTAAGAGTCATAAGTAATCTGCTAAGACATAAGCTTGGACAAAGGAGGCCTTAATAAATATGTGTTCAATGAAGGGGTGGATGTGTTATCTAGATGAAAAAAGTATATGAAGGGAAGGAGAACCAATAAATTTTATATTATATTTCTCTGAAGTCTCTGAATTGTGAATCAGAGGATCAGTATGCAGAGATCCATGAAATCATTTCAATCATGGTACATCAGATATTAGAATATATGACCAATATCTGTTAGCAAATATATTTCCTAATATTGATCCTCAGGAATGGATAAGTCTCCTCATGTTGAAGCAGAGGTTATCATCCTGTTGTGAGAAGCCAGTGTGGCCATGGAGTAGCGGGAACATTTACATGGCTGTAAGGCTTCCCTCATAATATGACTGTAGGTGTAGAACCATGGCAAGCCTTTACTAGTTCTTGCTTGAATTTCTTAACAGGGCTGATTCCTTTTAAGGAAAATTTAAGGTGTCTTAGCTCATTTTTCCATCAGACTTTCCTTCTCAGAACTGAAGATCAGATTTCCCCATGGCCAAGGGAGACTGGCACTCACAGACACCTGTGTGAAGTTAGATAGCCAAGTGCCAGAATATATTGCCAATGCCTCAGCAGTTCCTAGGCCTCTGCAGTGCTCTGAGCAGTGTGTAACTGACAGTTTTTGTTTTACATCATCAGGTACAAACTCTTGACATGGATGATTACCTCCTGGCCACATCAGACCATATTTTAGCCCAGCTTTTCTTTAGGAAGCAAAGCGAGTTTAAGAAGATTCCCAAATTCACAGAGGACCAGGCCATCAACCTGCCTTAAATTACTAATGAGTTCATATCTACTGTTATTTGTCAGTTGTTGGTAAAGAAAGGCCACTGGCTAAGAAAATGGGGCTTGTTACAATGAAGTGAGGTAACAGAGGCAAAGCAGCCTTGGGATCACCCATGTGGTCATCTGAGTATGCAAAGTCTTGCTAATCAAAAATTTCACATTTGGTGTCTAATGTACCTGATAAATTGGCGTCATTAATGCATTTTAATATACACTCATATACATATGTATATCTTGTTACTTCCAATATATTGTGTTAACATTTGTTTTTATGCATATAAGTGACATTTAACTCTGCAAGTATTATTCATTATTCATCACTGTGAGAGTTAAAAAAGAGATTGGTTTGTATATATACATTGTGAGGTACTGTAATCCACATGCATTAGACCATGTCTGAGGAGCTTAGTACCATGCCATAAATTGGAGATTCTCAATCCTTTTTGGCATGAGATGGTTTTGATAATGTCAACATTTTAAAAATTCAGTCATACCCATAATTGTGTACTTATATTACTATAGAAGATATTTAATGGCAAAATGAATATGAACTAATGCCACCTTTGAATGTATTTGGATTTTCTTGGTAACCTCATTATCTGTCTGCATTTGAGAAAGTTCTTCCCATGTTTGAAAAGCATCTGATAGTTTGTTGCTGGGGCTGGCTGTGTCTGAAGATTCAGGGGTCCCTTATAATCTTTCTGAAGCTGGTTGGGACTGGTGCTTTCTTAAGTTATATGAAAATAATTAGTGTATATTTGATCTGTAATTTAATTTTGATTGCAATTTATTGCAACAGGCATTTGGAATAAGGACAGTATGCTAATCACCACCATCAGCTCTGAGCTACCCTATGTAAAACTCTTAAGGAGATAGAGCTGGCTTTAATACCCTCTTGTACTCATTACTCTAATACATAATCTGATTTCTTTTGAAGGTTGAGATCATTTGTTTTTCTCAGTTGCAAAAGAATCTATCCTTTCTCTTCTTTCACTGACTGTCTCTCTCTTCATTATACTATCTAGCTCTACTGGTTACTAGTAGAAGAATATAGTGAGACTTTTTATCAAGGGTATATAACCACCTACAAAAAGGACTTTAGGAACATGATGACATCTTTTCTCTCTTCTCAGTTGTTTGTTAGTTCATTTACCCATATAAGCTAAGCACTGTGTTAGATATTAGAGAGACATAGTTAAGTTAATCTCTGCTTTCAAGGAGTACTAAGGCAGACATGAGGGCATACAGTACAAGACATGGCAGCATTGATATGGCAGATATTCACTATGGGAAATGATAAATGTGTGCACATAAACTATATATGGATACACAATTCATGCATAAGCAAAACACCAAACCCAGCTCTAGTAACCATATGGAGGGTGTTAAGATTTCCTGGAGTAGCTCAGAGTGAAGATGAACAGTTAGTCACAGTATTAAGGAAGATGGACTATGTGAGCTGGCAAGTTCTTCTAGATTGAAGGTTGAAAGAGTCAGTAGTGCCAAACATGGAAGTGTGAGAAAGCAGTTCACTATGGGTAGAGGAAAAGGCCAACAACAAGGGGTGAGGTAGAGCAGGGAGGGTCCAGATGGTGAAGATGCCAATATCCTTTATAGATATGTTACTATGCTTTTCCTTATTGCCTTTTCCCAGTATAGCTAGCCGAGATCAGAGCTTGGCAGCAAGCAGAGGCTTAATGGTGTTTAGGAGGAGAAGTAATGTTGAAAGGACTTAGGGAATAACACAAAGGAAATGGCACAGGGAAGAGGATATCCAAGTGGATGGATTGCTTTAGTCATCAGTAATGACTAAATTACTCTGTGAGGTTGTTTCACGTAAAAACATCTCTGAACTGTTAACAGTGACTGTCCTTACTGATGAACTCTGAGGGTCAAAAGGCAGAAAACCGTGTATGTACATAGTTGTTATCTGCAAATTTTACCTTTGGATTAAAAAAATATTCTATAAGAGTGTTTGTATGTATGTGCTCCTTTTTATGTACTAGTAAGGACTGTATCAGATTACTATATGGTCACTAATTAAACACTTTTGTCTATCTTTTTTATATCATTTTGTCTTTTAATTTTGAATATAATCTGTTCTTATGGTTTTATGTATTTAAAGTATTATTGTCTTCTCTTTAGGTATCTTTGATGTATGATTTATTATCTCCTAAGGAATGTATGTCATGGTATTGAATTATTTTGGGTTTCCCTAATAACAATATACTTGACATTTGCCACTCAACTATCAATTTTAAGAGAAAAATCATGAAGTACAAATTATCTAATGAAAAATTATGTTGGCATATTATTGCCACATTGCCTTAGCTTGGGATATGTTCTCAAAATTAAGAGTCTTCTAATATTGATTTGTATTTTCATAACCTTGAAGTATTCTATTTTTATGTTGGATCTTGAACCCAGGACCTTGAACATGCTAGACAATCACTATACTGCTGAGATATAGCCACAACCCAGAGGAAGTTAGTATTGATTGTTCCTCCAAGACACTATTCTCCATGGTTGGTTATTTCATCCATTAGTACTAGAGTGCTGGGGCTAGTGTGATAGTTCCATTAGTAAAGTGTTGGTCTTGCAAGCACGAGGACAAAATTTTGAACCCTATGACCCACCTAAGGAAAGGTAGGCGTGGTACTGTATGCTTGTAATCCCTTAGTTGTTCTAGAGAGGTTGAGAAAGGTGTATCTCTGGGCCTTCTAGCAAGCCCAATTACAGTACTGGAGAGTTCTAGGTGAGAGACGCTGTTTCAAAAAAACAAAAACAAAAACAAAAACAAAAGAATATATACACAAAAGAAGTTGATGGCCTCTGAGGAATCACATTGTCCTCTGACTTTTACAGACATACAAGGGTACACATTCACACATGCACAGGCACAGAGACAGACAGAAAGACAGACAGACAGACAGAAACACACACACACCCACACACACACATACACACACACACTGAAGTTTTTGGCGTTGGGGGGGGTAGATGCTATTTCTTATCAAACTGATGTCTTGATCAGACTGATTAATGACACCATAAAGGCAAAATTCAAAACTTCTAATGAAAACCTCCTTTAAAATGGAACTCTTCCTAGCCATTTTATCACAAACATTTTTAAGATCTGGCCATGTTTTACTCCTTTGAAGTAATATAAACTATAGTACATGAAATCCCTTAAATTCTGAAAAATTTTAAAGAATTTCTTAACAGCAGCCTTGAATGGCTGAGTAGAATGAATTTGGTTTCTGTAGCTCTTCAGGGCTGGGGAAGAAGCGCCAAATGTTTCATGCTACTTCTAATAGAAGGTGCTCACAAAAAGTTCTGTGTCCATGCTTTTATCATTTCCTATCCTGGAACAATCAGATTGCTTTTAATAACCAAACTAATACAGCACAGGAAAAGTGGTACTATTACCATATGGCTGTATTCTGATTGACCATACTCTGCCAGTGGTTAAAAGCTGAGCCATTAGTGTAGGATTTTTGCTTTAAAAACAAAACAAAACAACAAGAAAAATGCACCCTTTCTTTTTACGTTTGAGACAGGGCCTTACTATGCAGCCCAGGGTAGCCCAAGACTTTAAATCCTGCCTCAGCCTCTTGAATGCTAGGCTTTTGTGAGTGAACTACAATGCCTTTTTGAAAATTAGTTAATAGAGGTTAAAGTGATGTTTTCACAAACTCTCTATTAATTGTCACTTTTAGGAAGCTGACTTCTTTAAATTGTAGCCCTGATCCTCTGGGGGAAAATAGAATACACCTGATGAACCCAAAAGAGAACATAGATGGTTAAAGAAATATGTGTGCACTCATGCATTTTTTCTTCCTTGTACTTAAATTGGAGCTATTCAGGGAAAAGCATGCTTTGGAATAATGGAACTGCAGACCTGACAGTCCACAAATCACATGGTCCCATAGCTAGAATTTGTGGATATGGAAACTGATACCTAACTTCGCTGGATTATTTTAGAACAAAGGTCTTGGGGGTTCCTGTCTTCAAGGATATGAGAGAGTCTTTCACATAAAGCAGAACTCTGTACTAGGAAATGTATCATCTCAGGTGGGAGAAAGGGCTTCTATCACCTGAAAATCAGTCAGCCTACACCAGCACCACCTCCTTTCTGGGTTGCCCACATTCTGAGATGCTGGAGCAGCTAATCGTTAAATAAAGATAGGCATAGCATCTTTAGATCACAGTTCATTGTTCCTGTCCAGGAAAGTGCTCAATGCTTATTTTAATTTAAAAGTTGTTGTTGGCTTTTAATCCTGCAATAAAGTATGAGAAAAAATTGCCATACAATTTGGTGACTCTGAAAATGTTCATGATTTGGTGCAACTATCACCAAATCCATTTCTGAAATCTCTCCCTTCCCACTAGACAGGCACTACAACCATTAAACCACTTTGTTCTCTCCTCCTGCTAGCCCTGGTATAGTCTACTTTGTATTCATTCTGTCTTTATGAATTGACCTATTCTGTGTACCTCTTATAAATAGACTTACACAACACAAGCAATTGCTTAATTTCATTATTTGCCCATTTAAAAACCTTTGCTTTGGCTGCCTCCTTAGCACTGTTATAGGGTTACATAAGACACAGAGACGTGGCACCAGAGAACTTACACTTTAAATGATTTATTACAGAAATAGATTCTATTTTTCTTCCATCTCCACCATTATGGTTCATGAACTTAGCTCCTTTTACATCATAAGTATTTAAAAATGTTTGTGCATTCAGATTTTGTTAGATAGAAACATGTTTTAAAATGACACAAACTAATTCATATTATGCTTTGACATTTCAGTGATGTTCATGCCAGTGTCTCTCTAGTTATTTAGTGTACAAGCTTTTCATGAAACTTGGAGCATTACTTTGCCCTCACATGCTTTAGTGGGGGAACTTTGTTCTAGTTCCTGAAATTTGAATGTGAAGACTAGATTGTTTGAATTGTGCTTTTTCCTCCCTGACACTAGCAAGAAATCCCCAAGAGCCTAAACAGGTGTCTTTCATATCTCTTATCTTGATAATGTACTGCCCAATGTAATCTTTCTTGGCAATAACTCTAACGTTTTTTTTAACAATAGCCTTGCTGTGTTCTGTTTATTATCTGGCTAGGGTTGCAGAGTGTCTTATGCTGATGGGAGGAAATTGCCATGTTTAGGTGACAGTAATGGTGTTCTGTGTTTCTTCTTTGCGACATTGCTTTACTTTCAGCCTGATGACTAAGCACACTTTCAAAGGGCCCACTTTTCATGCCATGTCAATGGAGAAACTTAGCATTTTCAAAACATTCACTCAATGTGTTCAAACCTATTCCCCACTTTCTCTTCTATCAGGTTCAGTGTATCTGGTTTTATGTTGAGGTCTTTGATTCTCTTGGACTTGAGTTTTGTTCAAGGTGATAGATATGGATCTTTTTGCAATACTCTATATACTGACATTCAATTAGACTAACACCATGTGTTGAAAATACTTTCTTCATTTCATGTGTATTTCTAGCTTCATCATCAAAAGTCAGGTGTCCATAGCTACATGGATTTACCACTGGGCCTTCTATTCAATTCCACTCATCAGCCTGTCCATTTTAATGCAAATACCATGCGGTTTTTATTGCTATACCTATGTAGTATAGCTTGGAATCAAGGATGGTGAAACCCTTAGATATTCTTTTATTGTACAGGGTTGTTTAGTTATCCTGGTTTTGTTTATTTGTTTTTGTTTTTCCATGTGAAGTTGAATATTGTCCTTTTAAAGTTTGTAAAAAATTATGTGTGTATAATAGACTCAAGCCACTGAAGAAACAGGCTTTTCTTTTTTTTTTCTTTTTTAACTTAAATTAGAAACAATATTGCTTTACATGTTAATCCAAGTTCTCTCCCCCTTTTGCCCCCCACGGATCCCCATCCTATCCCCTTTCTGTTCCTCAGGGAGGGTGAGGACTTCCATGGGGGAATCTTCAAAGTCTGTCACATCATTTGGAGCAGGGCCTAGACCTTCCCCCATGTATCTAGGCTATCAGTCTGGGTTCTATGAGTTTCACCTTATTCTGGTCAGCTGTTTCTGTGGGTTTCTCCAGCCTGGTCTTGACCCCTTTGCTCATCACTCCTCCTGCTATGCAACTGGATTCAAGGAGTTCAGCTCAGTGTTTAACTGTGGGTGGCTGACCTGAACAAGGGGGAGCTCATGGAACCCAAGCTGATAGCTGGGAAACCAGCATAGAACTGTTCCAGACACCCTGAATGTGGGTGTCAGTTTGGAGGTCTAGTTAATCTATGGGGACCCTGGTAATGGATCAGTATTTATCCCAAGCACACGAATGAACTCTGGGAGCCCACTCGGCATAGAGGGATACTCTCTCAGCCTAGACACATGGGGGAGGGTCTAGGCACTGCTCCAAATAATATGACAGATGTTGAAGATCCCCCAGCTCCTGGATGAAGGCTCTAGGATGGCATATGAGGTAGTCATCAATCTCATTATCAGAGAAGGGCATTTAAGGTAGCCTCTCAACTATTGCTTAGATTATTAGTTGGGATCATCCTTGTAGATTTCTGAACATTTCCCTAGTGCCAGATTTCTCTTTAAACTTATAATGCCTCCCTCTATTATGGTATCTCTCATCCTGCTCTCCTCTATTCTTCCCCTGACTTGATCTTCCTGCTCCCTCATGTCCTCCTCTCCCTTCTTCTCCTGTTCTCTTTCTCCTAACTCCCCCTCCCCTTCCCAATTAGCTCAGAAGATATTGTCTCTTTCCCTATGAATGACCCTCTTAGGGTCCTCCTTGTTTCCTAGCTTCTCTGGCAGTGTGGATTGTAGGCTGGTAATCCTTTGCTCTATGTCTAAGATCCATATATGAGTGAGTATGTACCATGTTTGTCTTTTTGTGACTGGGTTACCTCAATCAGGATGGTTTTTTTTTTAGTTCCATCCATTTGCCTGTGAATTTCAAGATCCC